AAAAAAAAAAAAAAAGGAAGGCTTCTCAGAAATGACTTAGGAAGAGTGCCGTCATCAGAGAGAACTGCTTCGGCAGGTCTAACAGTAAGCTCTTAAAGGGACAGTACGCCGGCATCTATCAGCTACACTCAAAGGGCAGGCGCAGGAGTGACCAAAACATTTGGCCTCAGCAGTGACCGCGGCCAACTTCTGCTATTGGACTGTTGACTCATACACTGGGAAAGCTTTACTGGATTGCCCTGAACACTTCAGCACAAACAAATCCTCATTTGTGTCATCTCGGAAATATTTTATTAACCTTTTGTTCAAAGTGTAGCGGTGGGAGAAACATAAGAGGGATAGAGCACACGGGGTGTCGTTAAAGATGATCCATGGATTATCCAAAAACCAACTCAAAAAGAGTTTTGACTGCATGGAAAAGGGTATTTTTCAAATTCAGGCTGGGATATTAGGGAAAATAGTGACTTAAAATAAGCGAAGTTCACAGGTGACTTATAATAATTTTGCTCCAAAGGCACAAAAAGGAAGAGTTTGTTGAATGAGTTGGAAAAAAAAAAATTAAGTGTGAAGAAAAAGCACAGAACCAGCTGATCAAAATGCACGGACAAAGCGTTACCACAGCTTGGATCTACCATCATATGTGCCAGTTTTACCGGATATTCAGCTTATTCAGAAGTGTGTGCATGTGACCAATTCAAGAACTTATTATAACGCACAAAATTTTTAAAAAAAAGTCTCCTGCATTTTAAAAACAAGAAAATGCTAAGTAAATGGGACAAAACTACCCTTAAACTACTTCATCCGCCTGGAGCCTTTAGGGCCAGGGCATCTTTTTGGTGATATATACAAGAGAACTATAAGATTCAACGGCCAAACTTTGTTACAGGACGTTCGCTGACAAATGAGATTTTGCTAAAAATGGTTTGTCTTCTTTCTTTTGTCCCCAAAACCATCCGAAGCTTTCCTGACAGATGAAAAGAGGATCTGTTTGAAATATCTATGTATGCGCGTCACAGTGATTTGATGCAGCAATTTTGTGGCTTTGACGCAGAGATGCAATCACCTTTTTCTCTTCCTCTCCGAGTCATTTGACCGAGACTTGCTTTGGGGTGTCTTGGCTGTGGTGGATTTGGAGATGCTGTCTTCTCTGCGCCGTTTGCTGCATGGAAAAGAAAGACAACCAGTAAAGAGCCGCCTTTATAGGGATAAAAGCCCCGAGAACATCATATTTTGACCAACAGTCCCACGCGGAGTATTGGGATTAGAAGCTGATCGTTTCTTTTTCTGAGTATCGACAGATACTCCTTTTTCTCATTATTGGACTCGGGGTACTGACTGTGTTGTGCTGCCGTCCAGATCCTGCTCCTTGCAGGGAGACTGCATCGGTACTTTGCCATCCTGTCGGTATTCTCCTCCCTCTTCCTGCTGACTTCCTCGCTGGCTGCCGTTGAATTGCTCTGGGGGACACCTGCTCTGCAGCTGGCTGGAGGGCGGCGACTCCACAACTGGCGCCTGATCCTCCCTGGACAATTCCCGCCACCGATTCTGAAACGTGGCAAGAGAGAAGGTTCAGGTGAGATATGTACGTATGTGAAAAATAAACAAAAAATGATCAACACAAAGAATTTGACACACTGCAGGCTACTTAACACAATTTGGCGTGGGTAAAAAAAAATGCTTTTGTTAAATTGTGTAATGAAAAATTGTCGAGGAAGAGATGGTTCACAAAAGAAAATAGGGAAGACCAACATTTTGATGAAATCTTTTATCTGTAAGAATGATGTCATCATACAGGAATTACTGAGAGAAATGTCAAGGCTGGGAACTAAAATAAGTCTGTTTCCTTGACGGGCTTTTAACAGGAAAACAACACCATTTCATGGTGTTATATTTAATACCAATACTAACAAAACTTTTTTTTAACCTTGTGATAAAAGAGCTCTGCCTGATACAACTTAATTGTTTTTGTCTGATAGAAGAAGATTCAACCTCCAAAAGGCTTTTTTGAATGTGTTTCTGATGAAAACAGCCACTAGTATATAATCCATCCCACGTATGTTTAAGGAAACAACAAAAAAACTGCCTTCTATATCCATGAAACAGAGATAAATGCAATCTATGCAAAGTAAAAAGTCAAATGAGCCATAACAAGCGCTCCAACATCTTATCCAGTCGGTGTTTGTACTTTAATTCCAATGTAAAAAGAGTCAAAACGTAAATTTGGTTTCCGTGTGGCTGCTATGGAGCAATTGGAGGAGCACCTAACTACCTGAACTAATGACTTTACAAGAAGAGCAGAGAAATGGAAAGAAAATTCTGAAAGTAAATAATAACCGCACAAAAGAGATTCTGTGAATGGGCGAATCCTTTGCTTTTTGAGTTAAAACGCCAGCTACCTGTACAGAGGAGTCTCCCATGATGAACTTGGCTCCTTCCAGAACGGCCATGTAGGAGAAGCGCAGCTGGTCAGGCGTTTGGATCAGACCCATTCGGTACTTTCTCATATTCAGCAGGATGCCTTTGATGTCCACTGATGACGGGTCTTTCCTCTTGTCCATCTTGAAACAAAGGAAAACAACTCGGCTCAGCTAGAGGGGAAGAACTTTCTCTTCTCTGTTTTGATTTCCCAACGCGCCCCGTTGTTCGGCTCTGTCTAAACCGAGGAACACTTCAACATGAAAGGGGCTCCGATTTCAGCACAGAAAATAAAACCGGGCGGAATTCATCCTGATCCGTCATGTTCTGGGCTGCAGTTCTCTAACTGCACCCAAAAAGGCCATGAGTGTTTCTCACTTTACTGTTGGGGAATGTTGCGTGTTCTCCAACTCTTTTTGGAACTGTGCAAATTTGGTAAAGCCAGTCATCACCTGAGTTGCAAATATTCTTTCACTGTGTCAAAGCAAGACGCAGACAATTCAGTGTAGGCGTTGAAATTGCACACGATAGCTATGCGCTGAATTTCAACCAGAAAAGCACCCTCTGAGACGTGGTTTAATATTATGGAAATGCTTTCTGCCCACTCCAGAAAGCTGCGTTATATCATCTGTATAAGACTTCATTTGGGAAAAGGATTTTCTTAATAAAGAAAAATAACGAAAAGAATACTCCTCCAGGTAGAGAAAAGAATAGCATCTACTTGTTCTATTCTTAAAATAAATCTTGGGTAAAACTTACATCGGAGACACTCTCTGTTTAATAATCTACTTACAGTGCAGCACGGAGCACTTGACCTTTTTGGTTATTCAACTTTTCTTTAGCCTATTTTACATATCATGACTTGAGTTCTCTAAGGCAACGATGGGGAAAAAATCTAACCAAGATGCACTTCAGTTGTGGGCTGTACATTTACATTTTACAGCAGAAGCTTTTATCAAAAGTGCTTAACACATGAAAAACCACATTAGGGTAAACGAGTGGTTTCCTCTGTACCAATCCATGTTTAGAAATTAATGTCAAAGAAAATAATAGACAAGGATTGATTATAAATTAATTTTCTGTTACACAGCTTTTTAACGTGGCCTCTCTTCTACATCCCAACAGTCAGTGAGAGGGGCAGACAGAAAAATATGTAATGTAAACTATTTTTAAAAGTTTGTTTAAAGGGAGTTTTATTCATCTGGTAAAAAAAAAAAAAAAGTGTTATTGTGTACACTCAAGTTAAAAGTATGATAAAGGTAAAACCCCAACAATAATTCATGTACTGAATAAAGAGGCGGCACTTACGAGGACCAAACATGTGTCGACTAATGAGAACGTCCCTGAGCGTCCGATCCCGGCGCTGCAGTGCACCACCGCCGGCCCGTGGTCCACGCCCAGAGCCCCTGACTCCCGCACCTTGAAAAGGAAGTTCAGGAAGGACGCTGGGGACTCGGGGACACCAAAATCCGGCCACGTGGTGTAATGAAAATGGTAAATCTCCCTCTTCTCTCCTGTCTGTAAAAAAAAAAGAGGAAAAAACATCACGTACCAGAACCGAAAAAAAATGACTGAACTTGCATTATTTCTGACAGAGCTGTGGGGAACTGGCTGTTACTTTGGGCCTGTTCAACAATGGAGCTACACAAACATTCCTGCATCAAGTTTTAGGTTTTGTTATTTGATAAAGTCATCTCAGAGAGAAGCACATGACGGCGTGTCTAAACTTGTGGGGATATTTAGAAGAACAATAAGGGACGGAGGTATTGCAGCAGCTGATAAGACAAAAGAATAAATGAAACCATTCAAAGGGGGACACCCTTGAGTTACTGCAGTTCCGAGGGTTTCTGAAAAACCGAGTCTTACGTTAATGTTCTGCAGCTCCAACACTCTGGTGGTGTAGTAGGACTTGGTGTCCTCTGATGACAGTCGAACCAACAGACGCGTGTCTCTAAAGGCCATCTCCCTCTCATCGGCCGTGGGCCAGTACTGAGCACACTTTTCCTGACGCGGAGGAAAGGAGAAACGCATCTCAAAAAAAGCGAACATCCAACAAAGCACAATCCTTTCTGACAGGCTGAGGACAGACATGAAAACAGAGGGAGGAATTTAGAGGAATCCAGAATTCTGCACAAGAATTGGCTTCACTCTATTATGTTTTCTTTCTCAAAGGAACTGCAGAGTTTAGGAAACAGGCTTTTGCTGAAAGACCACGGGGGAAGCCAACATAATAGAGGTTAATAAAAATCTGTTACTAGGTGCTCTTTATCCTTCATTTCCAAGAAAACCATCAGGATAAGTCTCATGACACAGCAAGATCCATTCTAGCTGCTTTTCCGGGAAAAGAGGGAGGTCACAGCTGCTCTGCCGGAGAGAACATATTAAATATACACACATGGCCGAATCTTTGGAATTGCTTGAGTTAAGAAGTTGGACGTCATCCCAGATCCTCTACATCTGTCTACATGTTGTCTATAGACTGCATTCCGGATAAACTGCTGAGAGAGGATGAAGAGAACATCCATATGATGTTTGTCATTCAGTGCTTCCTGCTGACAAAGGTTTATAGTCCAAAACCTCCCTCAGAGGGTGGGAACTGCAGTCAGAAAAACCTGTACAGGTTGGTTTTCACACTGTTTAAAGAGCAAATCCAAAAAGAAAACATCAGCCAGTTCAGCGACTGCTAGAGAATGTATTCTTCCTCATAGCTTCAGAGGTGAACAAGCACAGGGCTCTTTGGAATTACTCAAAATTTATAGTGTGTTGTCCGATCATGTTGTTCTTGTGCAATGAACCAACAAAGAAATAGTCATGCGGTGCTGGTGGACCAAAAGATTATTAGGATTGTGAAATTTGCTGTTCTGAAACATAAACGCACACAGAGAAAAGGCGGATTTGTTTTTTTCTAGACAGAAGTGGACTTTTTGTGAAGCCTATCTAGTGTTTTTGCCAGCAAAACTGTCTGCCCCAGTCGCTACCTGTCGATGATCAGATTTGGTACAAACCGATTTAAAGAAGGATGACGAGAAATGTATCTGCTTGTTCCAAGTATTTACTGAGGAGCAACACTTTGAACAAAACTATCTCCACATCACTAACCCTGTGTGAAGCCTCACAGTGAGCCAACTATCCATCTGAGCCCACAGGCTTTAGTGCCACAAGTATCTGTTTTCAATTCTTATCTTACGTCATTTAAATCCATCAAATCATCCCAAACACCTGAAAGGATCTGCTGTGGGTACATTCCACTGCTGGTGTGCATTTTCAATGTCTTTTTGTCACAGAAAACATGTGCGGAACTATAAATAAATAGGTCTGTGTACGACTGTATAACTGTATATGTAGATTTTTTAGGTATTTGTGCATTGCTCTCCATGTGAGTGTCTTGCGCACCAGAGAATAAAAAGGATTTATTTCTACTTACTGATCCTTTCTCTATGACCCTGTTTAGCATGATGACAGCCTTTGTTTTCTGCTCCCAGATCATGAGCCAAAAGTGGCCGCAGGTGTTCTTAAGGGGACCCTGTGGACAAAATGCACACAAACACTGAGATAAGTCAAATAGAAGGAACACGAGTCCATTAGGGCAGAGGGGAGGGGTCCACTATGCAACCGTCTGTAGTTTCTCTATTTTAATGTTAAATAATCTAGATAAATTAAATGGGGAAAAATAAATAGGTCCGCCTCTATTACTGTGACTAAAGTGCAGAGACCTTACCAAAAGAGAGATTACTAAAAAGTCATGTCAGGAAAGGTCATGGTGTGGCTGAGTATTTCACTCTGAAAGATGATTATCTACACTGCCAAATGGCACTGGCAAAACAAAAAACTGCAAATATGCACATATTTGCGATCATAATTGCAATATTACCCCCCCAAAAAATTAACCAGAAATCTTTAAATGAACACTTGAACACTAAATCAAGTAGCACATTTAAGGCATCGACATTAGAAAGCATGTGATGGTGACTGTAGAAAAGAATAAAATATCACAATTTTTGGTTCATTAAAAACCTGCCTTTTCAATTATTGCAGACGGTCACTTACTACTCTTAAAAAAATCGAAAACAGTCTGACAAATCAAACTTTATCTCAGATAAATGACTGATGCTAAAAACAAATGAAAAAAGCCACTAGCTTTTGATACAAATAAAGTGAAACGTACTGAGAATTAAATGTATTTCACACAAATTACTTCAAATATTCTAAAACATATCCATATGTTGTCTAAACCTTGATTTTCAAAATAGCTGAATAAATAGTCAGTATATAAAAAAAAGGTTTAAGTAATGAACTTTTACAACTTTTGTGACAAAACATGTTTTAGCCCTTACATTGACAGAAAAAATCTGAATTGTGTGGGTGGAAAACCATACTGGTTTCTTCTCAAGCACAAATGTCAGTTAATCAAGTCGAACAAAAGACTTTACCCCAACCAAGGACACGGTGCCATCACAATGAATGAAGGCCATCAGCTGGAAATGTCAACGTTTGGTTTCTGGTTCTTAATAAGAGTATTTAAGCCCACTCAGCAAACTCCTCTTCAAGGTTAACCTCTCCGCCATTACTGTTTCTTGTGTTTCAAACGGGTTGATCATGTTCTATTTCCTTAATGTCATTACAAACCGCATGCACATAGGACTGTAATACAGGTATTACAGAATAACAAACATATATGAAAATGAAAACGATGAGAACAACTAATGTTGTTATCGGCGGTAGGTTATGCTCATTATGAAATAAGTTATTATTATCCTTCCTGATCATCAGAAAAATTCCATAGCCTTTCCTTTGCTATGCGGTAGCTCTTTTTTTATGCCCTACTGGATTTAACATCACATTAATCCTTTGGGCCAGCCCAGAGCAGAAAAATACGTTGTTTTCTGTTTGGGTCTTGAGGATCTATCTCAACCTATCGGCCTTCTTATCGTGCCACAGGTGAGTCACTGACCTACACTTGGTTCATGAGGTTCGTTGAGGTCAAGCTAGGGTGTTTACCCATAATGCCGACATCTGAGCGGTTAAGGTCACCCCAATCAAGTGGTGGTGAAACCATCAGGGGAGTGAGGTCAGGGTTGCACTATGAGTGACTGAGTTCCAGCGTCCTTGTTTAGTGATGCTTTTCCAGTTTCACATAAAAAGTTTCCCTCTCTCGTGACTTTTCTGGCCAGAATGCATTACTGTTTTCTGCTCGCTGAAAGTCTATAGACTCTGCTATAGTATATTTGCTTCAGTACACAAACAGCAACAGCACATGACACAGAGTCATATAATCTTAATCAAGTTTTCATTTGAGAGACCACTTCTAAACTGTCTGTGGTTTTGATCTAAATCAGTAGATCAATTTAAAATGAATCTGACTGAGTGTATGTTGTTTGATAATAAACTAACATAACTGATGTTATACGCTAATGCTCTGGAAAAACTGACAAAATAGAAAACAATATGCAACAGGAAGTCTAGAAAGCCACCATTTGTAGGTACAAATTTACAATCAGAGGGTCACACACATTATGGATTTTCTCATATCAATAAAAATATCTTGGCAACAGGAGCCGTATTTTTTCATAGAGGACTGAAATCTTTAAACTTGCCTGAGTCAATATGTAACTTCTCTGGGCTTCTTCCATCACTACGAGGCTTGCATTGATGTAGTCATTTTCTGTGCTCTCCAGTTTAACCCGACTGTGATCAACTGCAAGCAGCATGAGAGGAAAAGTTATTATGGGGACAGTTAAATTGATAGATAAGGTTAAGAGGTAAAAGGAAACATCACATGGTCAAAAACAGTTTGGACTTTCTACAAATGTTTACTTACATGGACTGACATCTCTGTATCTATTTCTGGTGCGGTTCTCTGGATACTTTGCCACTTTGTAGGAGCATTCGTGGGACTGATTCCTTATTTCCTAAGAAGCAAAAAAATGGTTTAAAATTGTTAAACACCACAAGCGAAACCATTCTTCATTATTTATCGTCAAACTTGTGGGGCTTCCCAACATTTGTGTGTGTGCATTTGGAAAAAAAGATCAGAAACAATCTGGAAATCTTATCTCATGGATTCAAATTTCCATTATGGTTTTAAATCTAAGTTTAACTCTCAGGACTATTCATATCCTGATGCTCCTGGCAAGTTTTTACCCAATATGCTGGAGCCAGTCTGGGCTAAACAATTCTATCTTAGTCTCATATGATCAACAATGTGTTCCAAACAGTCCACGACTTGTTTAAAAATACAATTTTAATCTTTCAGTATTTATGCCAAAGGCAAAGAAAGTTTGTTTTATTGCAGTCTCTTGGGAATCATGAGCAGATGTTGACAATAATGTTCTCCCTGCTATGTGAGCTGCCGTTGAAACTCTTTTCGTCCAAACCGAGGTCAGGAAAGGCTCTAGTCATCAGTTAGTAAGCACATAATAATCAACATTTTAATAACTTGACAATGTGGTCATAACTTTACTGGGATGTGCTCTCTTTTAACGGATATCTAAAATTATAAAAGAGATACAAGCAGGAAATCGGCAGTTTAACATTCGGGGTAAACAAACCAACTTCCAGTAGTACACAAAACATTACATATACAGATTTTGTAAACTGTGTTTAACTGGGAAAATGCAACATGGTTACTCAAGGCGAGGATGAACCATATGGGTACAAACTTATAAACTGTGTTTAGGATGAGTGAAATGAGCTTAAGGCACGTTATAATGTGAACATCATAACAGTATCTTCTTGCAAACGCAAAGTCAGTACTTAGAACAAAAACATGTAATAACCAAGTCGGTTTAAAACAGGTAACGTTATTACTGATGTATTAGACAAACCACTAGCTTGTAGAGAAATAAAGTGCGCGCGACAAGTAAAAACCGTGCTAGCATCGTGCTAGCTGTGCTAACAGACTTACAGAGTACAATTTTTGCCACCGGCCTTCTGAATCTATGTCTTCAAACTCCTGGTCCATTTTCACGGTGGTGACGCCTGTCTGTTCCACAAGAGACTGGGTTTATAGATTATCTGACTATTTACCTCATTACTTTACCAGGTAAAACAAGCTTTTAATCAGGCTTATTACTTCCCTACGCTAGCCAGCCGCCGCCGATTGTTTGTCCGTTATCTCCCTGCTGCAGTTGTCAGCCGGATCAGACGCGTGTGCGCATGCGCCATCCAAGGTCCTTCAGTGGCTGTCAAACCACACTCCAAAGATGTTTAGTGAACACAAGAGCATTCAAACAACTACACTTTGACTTTTGACAATTGCTATAGCTGCCTATTTCAAATCCTGTATAAAGGGATTTTTGGGCAGGGATGCAATTAACCCATATAACTATCTTATTTCATAAAGAAAGAAAGTTTTAAAGAAAAAAAAAATAGGAAAAGGACAATAAAATGGCCAGAAGGGCACACAGAAAATCAAAATGCTTAGAGCCAAACGATATTGAAAATGTGAAAAATAATTGATTATATATATATTTTTAATATACTGGACGCTAAATCACCGGAAAGAAGCACAAGTTACAAAAGAACAGGAAAAAACTATCTGATAAATGACAAACAATTTGAATGCAAACCAACTAAACATTCTAAATTAATAAGATGATGATTGCATAGATGAGCAGATGGTCGAATTTTTTACTCAAATATTGGGAAACGTTTGGCTGAATACAAATAACAACCAGACATTGTATCTGTTTGGTGAAATAATAACTTATGCGATTAGGTTTCCTTTTGCACACTCGGGCTTACGAATTGCGGTATATTGCAGAAGGATGAAGGTTTAACTCTCGCTTTTAGTTTGAGCAAATATGAAATAACGAAAGAAAAAGTTTGAGAGGGCGACATAAACGCAGTAACACGTCTCTCCCTGAATTAAAGGATCGCATTACAGGCTTAAAACTTTGTTGTAGTTGACTATAGCCAGTGTTATATGGAGGATAAATCAAGAGTTAGTTTTGGACAATACTTTAAATTAAATCAATTTAAAAAGACTGTGGAAAGACTACTCCTAAATGGCCATAGTGTTACTAGGTTTCGACTGTATGATAAACATCTGTAGGTGTCAAGGTACCGGTTACAGGAAGTGAAACATATTCCGTCTGGGCAAACTACTTCACAAATTAAGGCACGCCCTGTGTAAATATGAATATCTCTATGTGTATAGAAATATGTAGAAAAACACATCACACTGTCAGGTGGTATGATACCAGGTAAATGTCTATCTATCTATCTATCTATCTATCTATCTATCTATCTATCTATCT